TTTGCCAAGGATGGAGGTGAGACTGACTGGCCTATAGTTGCCCGGGTCCTCCTTCCTCCCCTTCTTGAAAATGGGGACCACATTGGCCCTTTTCCAGTCCTCCGGGGACTTGGCCCGTGTGCCACGAGCGTTCAAATATTCCCGCCAGTGGCTCTGCAATGATGTCGGCCAGTGCCTTCAGCACCCTCGGATGGAGCTCATCCGGGCCTGCCCACTTAAACGCATCCAGTTCCTCCAAGTGACTCTGCACCATCTCAGGGTCTGTGCATGGCAGTCTGGCGCCTTGCTGCTGCCTCTCTATGATCCCAGTGAGAGACTTGTCGCGCCCCTCGCTTAGGAACACTGAGGCAAAGAACTCGTTGAGGAGTTCAGCCTTGTCCCCTCTGTCCGTCACCAATTGCTTCTGCCCATTTAGCAGGGGTCCTATTCCTCCCTGGGCCTTCCTTTTACTCCCTTCATATCTAAACAACAATTTCTTGTTATCCTTTACTTGGGATGCCATCCTCAGCTCCGTGGTAGCTTTGGCCCGTCTAACTGCCTCCCTACAAGCACGAGCAGAGGAGGTATACTCCTCTTTAGTAATCTCTCCCTGTTTCCACTTTTTATGTGACCCCCTTTTTGCCTGTAGGCTGCTCTGGATTTCTGCGGTCATCCAAGGAAACCTCTTGGCCCCTTTTTCCCCACGTCGGGATCATCTCCCTCTGTGCCCGAAGGATCATTTCCTTAAGGCACAGCCACCCTTCCTGGGCTCCCATCTCTTCAAAACTTCTACTCTGCAGTGCGTCCTTGACTAAGCGCCTGAGTTCATTGAAATCAGCTTTCCTAAAGTCTAGCACTTTCACCCTACTAGTTACCTTACCCACTCGATGTCATATGGTGAATTCTATTATTAGGTGACCACTGTCCCCCAGGTGACCACCGATCTGTAGGTCCCCTACCATGTCATCCCCCGTTGCCAATACCAGGTCCAGTAATGCATTCCCCCTAGTGGGACCGTGTACCTCCTGTGTCAGGTGGAGGTCCTGGACACAGGTTAGGAACCTGTGTGAACGGTGGGAGTTTGCTGTCTGCGTCTCCCAGCAGATCTCTGGGTAGTTTAGGTCCCCCATGACTACCGCCTCCCTAGTTTTTATGGTCTCCGAGAGCTGCCTCAGGAGCCCCAAATCTAGTTGGGCAGACGTAGATTTCATAGATTTTTGGGGTCGGAAAGGACCTGAGCAGATCATCAAGTCCGACCCCCTGCCCTGGGCAGGAAAGAGCACTGGGGTCAGATGACCCCAGCCAGGTGTTTGTCCAGTCTCCTCTTAAAGACCCGCAGGGTAGGGGAGAGCACCACCTCCCTTGGGAGCCCATTCCAGGTTCTGGCAACCCTTACCGTAAAGAAGTTCTTCCTAATTTCTAGTCTAAATCTGCTCTCCGTCAGTTTGTGGCTGTTGTTTCTAGTTACTCCAAGGGGCACCCTGGTAAACAGAGTATCTCCTATCCCTTCCTGTCCCCCTCCTCCCCCCGATGAATTTTTAGACAGCCACTAGATCACCTCTCAGCTTTCTCTTACGGAGGCTGAAGCCTGTCCCCCTCCTCCCCCCGATGAATTTTTAGACAGCCACTAGATCACCTCTCAGCTTTCTCTTACGGAGGCTGAAGAGATCCAAGTCCCTCAATCTCTCCTCGTAGGGCCTTACCTGGAGGCCCTTAACCATACGAGTGCCCCTCCTCTGGACCCTCTCGAGGTTATCCGCATCCCTCTTGAAGTGTGGCGCCCAAAACTGGATACAGTACTCCAGCTGCGGTCTGACCAGTGCTGCATAGAGGGGAAGCATCACCTCCTTACACCTGTTCGTGATGCACCTGCTAATGCATGATAGAGTGCGGTTAGCTCTCTTGATCGCTTCATCACATTGTTGACTTGTTCATCTTGGAGTCAACTATGACTCTGACATCCCTTTCCTCTGCTGTGCTGCTTAGAAGATCTCCCAATCTGTAAGTGTTGATGATTTCTTCTCCCTAGGTACAGTACTTTGCACTTATCTTTGTTAAACTGCATCCTATTTTGTTCTGCCCACTTCTCCAGCCTGTCCAAATCCACCTGAATCCGCTCCCTGCCCGCTAGTGTGTTTACTTCGCCCCATAATTTGGTGTCACCCGCATATTTGAGCAGAGTGCTTTCCACACCCTCGTCCAAGTCACTGATGAAGATATTGAACAGCACTGGTCCAAGGACGAAGCCCTGGGGGGGGCACCCCACTGCTCACATCTTTCCAGGTCAATACCATCCCATCCACCACCACTCTGTTTGTTCGTCCCGTTAGCCAATTCACCACCCACCTGACCGTGAAATCATCTAAGTCACAGCCGCTTAGTTTTTTTTATGAGAATGGGATGTGACACCGTATCAAAGGCTTTTTTAAAATCCAAGTATATGATATCCACCTTGGCTCTTGCATCTAAAAAGTTAGTGACCTGGTCGTATTGACTTGGGTGGTTTAGGCAGGGATGATTCTGCCTTGAGCAGGGTGTGGACTAGATGACCTTGTGAGGTCCCTTCTAGCTCTGCTCACTCCCGTGCCCGTCTAGCTGCCCCACCAATAATACAGCATAACACGGGTCCTCACCAGCTGGCAGGAAGTGGCACACAGACTAGCAGCAGCTCGTCTTGACCTCGTGGAGTTCTCCCTCCTTTTCCCTTCACCCTGTGTTTACATATTAGTCTAATATTCTAATACTTGTTTACTGATTGGCTTTATTTAAATGTCTTTGTTTCACTGAAATCAGCTTTTGGAGCTGAACTCAACCAGTTCTCTTGTGGGCTTGGCTGGTGTTGATTAGTTGGGATTTATGTTCCTATGAAAGTTGCGCTTCTGCAGGGGACGATCTCCTTCCCTTTGCCTTATTTATAATTTCCTAGACAAGGCTGCTTTGTGTCTTTACATTTTATCTAAGAAACTTAACCCATAAATATCTATTGTAAAATTATATTGACTATACTTGCTCACATTAATTATTGCTGTGAGAGAAAGCTATGATTGGCATATTTGAATGATCCAGTTTAAGATTTTGTGCTCTGTTTAATCCGATCTGGTTCATCTGGACAAGTTAGTTGCTTTCCTTGCTTTGGTAACCAGGCTTGGTGTCCTGTCTGCAAAGGTTCATTCCACCGTTACTCAGAAACAGGCTTTGGGGCCTCTTGTTCTAGCCATGCTTCATAGCTTGGTGTAGCCCCCTTGGAGATGACCTATACCAGCAACAATGATTTATACATTTCTGCCTCGCCATATTCAGTCAGCAAGAAAGCCACTGCTATTTGATAGGATTCTAGCTAGCCGCACGATTTCATAGATTTCATTAGACATTAGGGCTGGAAGGGACCTTGAAGATCGAGTCCACACCCCTGCCCCAGGGGCAGGAAGTCAGCTAGGGTCAAAGGATCCCAGCAAGATAAGCACCCAAACGTTTCTTGAATGAGTCCAGAGTAGGTGCCTGCACCACTTCTGGAGGGAGTCTATTCCAGACCTTGGGGACTTGGACAGTGAAGTTTTTTCTTATGTCCAGCCAAAAACAGTCTTGGAGGAGTTTATGTCCGTTAGACCTTGTCATCGCTTGGGGTGCTCTGGTGAACAGGTGTTCCCCCAGATCCTGATGCACACCCCTGATGTACTTATAGGCAGCCACCAGGTCCCCCCTGAGCCTGCGCTCTTCCAGGCTGAACAGTCCCATGGCTCTCACTCTCCTTTCATAAGGCCTATTCTCTTGCCCTCTGATCATGTGCGGGGCTCTCCTCTGGACTCTCTCAAGCTTCTCGACATCCTTGTTGAATTGCGGAGCCCAGAACTGGACGCAGTACTCCAGCTGTGGCCTCACTAAGGCCAAGTACAGCGGGAAGATGACATCCTGGGATTTGCTTGAGAAGCATCTATGGATGCAAGCCAGAGTTTGGTTTGCTTTACCAGCTGCGACATCACATTGGTGGCTCATGTTCATCCTGTGGTCAATCATGACCCCAAGTCTCTTTCAGCCGTTCAGCTGCTCTCATCAGAAGATAAAACATCAAGGTGTTACAGCTGTTAGCACTAACTGCAATTAGCATTTTCCAAAGAGCAGTGATTTTTCACCTGCCCTGGCCCAGTGCTAGTAGCCTCGACCAGCAGACTTTATTCTGTTCTCCTAGGCTACTGGCAAAAAAACCAGGCTCGAGCACTTAAGTTGTAATTCAGGCATATGCTAGGTCCTGAGTCTGCACTGGTCATCATGGTGTTCAGCCGATGACCACGTCTTAGGCCTTTGTGGTCATCTGCCCCTCTCTGCAGAGAATCTCCTTCAGAACAGCGTGGATGACAGCTGGATGGACACGAACCTGAACCGAGTCAGCGTGATCCAGTTCCTGGATGAGCCCAAAGCGGATGATGATGATGAGGCCGGAGCGGAGAAGAGGGTAAGGGGAAGGTGGGGCATGTCCCAGGCTTACCAGCTTCCCAAGGAGACATGGCTGTGAGCTTTGGAGACCCCTGCTAGGAGTGGAACTGGTGCTCTTTGGAGGGGCTGGGGGGGTTCCCAGGTCCCAGGCCCACTTGGGAGCTGTGCCTGCAGGTGACAGGCCTGTATCCAGGCACACCCCTGAGGCTTTGTCAGAAAGATGTGGTGAAGTGCAGGTTGCCCTGCTCTGAGCTCTCGTGGTGTGGACTGGGAGAGGCTGCAGCAGGCATTGGGCCCCGCGCGTTACCGGAGCACCTCACAGGTTTTCTACTCTTCCCGGTCCAGCAGAGAGCCATCAGCTGGAGTCCGGGCCCTCATGGTCAGAGGAAGAGCTGTTCCAGACATTCCTCCTGTCCATGGCTCGGTCCCCGTCACTGCTTGTGACTCTTGGTTGCCACGCGCACGGTGTGGAAGGGCTGCCCTTGTGCTGGCTGCAGTAGGCAGACCAGCTGCAGGGCATGAAGGGGACCCTCGCACATGTTCCCAACTGGCTACTGCCCTCACGGAGCAGGTGGATCTGGGACACCAGTGCCTGCTTTGAAACTTCCCTGCCCCCCGGTTTCCCCTGTGGACATCGCCTGCAGTGAGCAAGATGGGCTTGCTGGGCGTTCTCGCGGGGCAGCTCCTCTGGCCCCGGCTGTCAGAGCTGGAGCCAGAACTAGGGGAATCCTCCCGGAGGTGTGGAGTGGGGAATGGCTGGGGTTGCCCCCCTGTGGGGGCTGCTCTACTGAAGGCTTGGCTGGGAGGCCTAGGGCCTTCCACTGAGTGTCCTGTCACCGCAGGGCCTGCAGCGGCGAGCGACTCCCCACCCCAGTGAACTGAAGGTCATGAAGAAGGTGATTGAGGTCCGGCGCAACGAGGCATATGCTGCAAAGCCTGATGTGGACCTGGACTCTCCGAACTCAGAGGTGAGCATCCTGCTTGGGGAGGGGCCTGGGCCATGGGGCTGCAGGGCCACAGGCCTCCCTGCCCTGCAGTGCTGCAGCAGTGAACACTGCACCGTGCAGTGTACTCAGGGCCAGCAGAAGGAATGCC